GAAGTCATTAGTCTATTTCATTATAAAATTTCTGAGAAATACTAAAGTAGACATTTTTGGTAGCATTAATCGTACACATAATTGTAGATAATAATAATAATAGTAACAACAACAACAACAACAACAACAATAACAATAACAACTAATCACCCTTCATCCCAAAGGAGCACATGGCTTCAAAAATCAAAATATAACAAAAATGTATTTAAAGTACTTTAAACAAATAAAAATAAATAAATAAAACACCATCTTGAAACATTTAAATAAAAAATGATAGTTTTTTAAGGATAGTATTGTGAATGACAAGAGTTTGGTAGGGAGAATGACTCCCATCTCTTGCGGGGGTGGAATTAGTGCCAGCACCGTTCGTTAAGAGTTTGGGTGTAATCTTCGATACCTCCCTCTCTATGGAGGCGCAGATTACAGCTATAACAAAGGCGGCATTTTTTTCATCTCCGCCAAGCTAAGCAGTTGGCCCCTTATCTCTCTCGCCCTGACCTAGCCACTGTGATCCACGCGACGGTCACCTCCAGACTGGATTATTGTAACTCGCTCTACGTGGGGCTGCCCTTGAGGCTGACCCAGAAACTCGGACTTCCGGGGTGGCACCATCGGTAATGGCGGACTCCCTCTGATCTGGAGGGACCAGCTCCATGGAAAACAGGTCTTTCCCGCTACGGCAAAGTGGGGACCCTTTCAAAAATCACAGGCGGATGAAGCCTGTGACCATGGGACTCGGCGGGCACCTTTAGCGCCCCCCCAACCCATAAAGGAGCCCATTTACGGACTCCGAAGCGAAGAGGGGGAAGTGGCGCGGTGCTGAGAGTCAACTGCTTCTTCCGTGGAGCGAAGCTGCACAGCCGTTGCCGGAGAGCGCTGCCTTTTTCCTGGGACAATTTGGCTTTTAAAACAACTACCCGTGAGTACTTTAATTTCAGACAATTGGAATTTGAACAATGACCTGCGAGTAGAAAGGAAAATTGGACTAAGAAATTCATTTCAATTTGGCACTGAAACGGGAAGGTCTAAACAGGAAGTCAGCCTTCCGTTTCTTGTAGATAGATTAAAGCAAAGACATGGCAAACTAGAGTTCAGAAAATCGTTTGTAAAGGATTAACTTTCATCATTTAAAATTGTTGAACCCCCTTCGGAAGCAGGAGAAGAGGGGGGATTTTTTTTTGGACTGTTTAAACCTGCAGAAAGAGTGTAAAGCAAAGTAATTTTCCACTGTCTTGATCCTGGGAGCGGGTGTCAGGACTGACGTTCTTTGGGAAGCTCATTGACCAGAGACAAACGTTTTTGACAGATAGTTAAAAGAAGAGAAACATAGTGATTCCATTGTTCTCCTTCGCATTTTAAAGGAGCAAATATTGACAAAATATCTGAAAAAGGAAACTTTGTTGCTAGATTTGCCTTTAAAAGAAAAGAACAAATAGAAGTTCTTCCCCTAGAGGGAGCCTGTGAAACTGTTACTAAATCTGAATCGGGGAGCTCTGCAGCTGCAGGAGATTACGATCGTGGGAATAGACTTCTGACCTTGCAGAACAATGTATTCAGAAGCTCTGATGCTTGCTTTCTGTAAAACAAGTGCCCTACTGGAACAGCTACATGAGAAGACGGACTTGATGACTGCTGCGATCGGAAACTTCGGACAGGCAGTGGGTAACTATATAGAGCCCACCCAGGAATTAAATCAGGAGTGTGCTCTGACAGATCAGATGAGGGAAGAGGATGTTGTTGAACCTTGGGCGCCAGAGATGGAGGGAGCTGTGGCCCAGCAGGAACATGAGTTTTTGGATCTGACAAATGAACTTGGAAAAAGCCAGATTTGGAAAGATAAAGTTTGGCTTGGCTTGGAAATGGGGGGTTGGATAGACCCCCCTATGCAGGGAGGTTTGGACTTTTCAAGTCTGGCAATGGGCCATGAGATGTTTGGGGTTGTGGGGGCTCTTAATTCTGGAGGGACTTTGAAACATGTTTTTAAATACCACATGGAGTTTAGTATGGAGCATGGAAAAGGGATTGATTTGTCGAGAAGGGTCAAAAACACTGTTAAGTTGGAGTTCCCACGAGTGAAAGGAGCAGGAGACAAAGTAAAGTACAGGTATAAATATGAAGAAGAGCCGCGGAAGGGACATGGAAGAGACTTAAGGGCCTCAGACATAAGATTACCAGGTTAATGCGCTAGATTGATGGGATAGAAAGGACTGACAAAACCCGGGACCAGGAGGAAGAGACGCTGGATGAAGATTGGAAGAAATTTTTTTTTATTAGGATTGTTTTATAAAATTGATGAATGTTAGAAAAATGTTGGAACGAAATTATTTGGCTTTAGCAAAAATGTTAAAAGAATTATGTAAGAATATGTTATGGTTATGAGAAATTGGTATAAATAAGATCTAAGTTTTAAGTTTTAAGGTCTTTTATAGTAAGATAAGGTTAAAATAGATTAAGGTAATGTAATGACAGAATATTATGAAAAATGGAAAGGATTTGCTGTGACTATTAATAACTAGGATACAAAAAAAGGGAGGAGTGAGGAGGTCAAAGAAAGAAGGTAATGACAGTTAAGGATATGAGAATATTGGATTTGTTTTTAAATTTTTGTGGCTTATTTTTGCTTTTTGATTGTGTTTTGTTACGTGCTTTGTTCTGATTTTTTGATTTTGACTTTTATCAATTTGTATTGTTTGATTGTGGTTTGTTTTTCTTTTGTTTTTTCTCCTTCTTTTTTTTTTCCTCTCGGTTTTTCCCCCTGTAACTTTAAAACGCTTAATAAATATCATTTTTTTTAAAAAAAGAGACTGACCCAGAAACTTCAGCGGGTGCAGAATACTGCGGCGAGACTCCTTATGGGGTCTTCGCTGCGAGATCACATTCATCCGGTACTATACCAGCTGCACTGGCTCCCGGTGGAGTACAGGATCAGGTTTAAGGTGCTGGTTTTAACCTTTAAAGCCCTATACGGCCTAGGACCCTCGTGCCTACGGGATCACCTCTCCTAGTATGCCCCACAGAGGAACCTACAGTCTGCAAATAAAAACATCCTGAAGGTCCCAGGCCTCAGAGAGGTTAGGCTGGCCTCAACTAGAGCCAGGGCTTTCTCGGCTGCGGCTCCAATCTGGTGGAACGCTCTGTCACAAGAGACTAGGGCCCTGCAGGACCTGACATCTTTCCGCAAGGCCTGCAAGACAGAGTTGTTCCACCAGGCCTTTGGTCAGGGCCCAGCCTGACTCCCTCCTCTGGCAACCTGCACAGAATTTTGCTCAACGGTTGCCATTAATTTGATTTTAATTAATTTTTATAATGAAATGTTTTTAGAATGTTGGATTATTTGATTGTTTGATTATTTGATTGTTGTTAGCCGCCCTGAGCCCGGCTTCGGCTGGGGAGGGCGGGATATAAATAAAATTTATTATTATTATTATTATTATTATTATTATTATTATTATTTGTCTTTCAGTCAACCTACAATTGAAAGGGGAGCAGGAAGTAAAACAGAATTTAGAAGCATTTCTACTCCTACATTCCTTTAATATTCTATGTACAATGGTGAACATCCATTTTGGTCAAAGAGAGATTTCCCCCCCCCCAGCAGACTTCTGATGCAATGTGCATTTGATATAATGGAACTAAAACCCTTCAGCAGTGATGAATTAATGATGAAAGTAGCATGATACAGTGACTTATAAGAGATTTCCTACTAAACGTGTCTTGGGGCAATCTTCAGTCTCATTTTTTATATTGGGGATTTGGGCTGCCTCTTTTTATATAGGATGATAGTATGATAAAATCACAGAGGAAATGTGAGATTCTCATTTTCTCTCTTTTTCCCAAGCACTAGGAAACTATATTTTTGGCTCTCCGTTGATTTGGTGCTTGGTAAAAAAAGCAGCCTTCTGGAACAATCTCTGGTTGCTCCCAGGAAAATTAGATACCGTTTTAACAAAAGTCATATTTGGGCTCTGTTGAAAGGATTAAGTTATCACGTGTGGGAGGGGGGGGGACTAGGGCCAGTCCAAGACATTTTGTTGCCAGAGGCAAAGCAGAAAATACAACCCCCCCTGTCCCGCACGCAACCTGACTCGGACATTGAACATTAATCAGGTGGTAAGTGGCCAAGCAAGTATTGGCCTCTCAGAAAAGATGGTCACAGGACTGGTTCCTAAGAAAAACTGATGAACAGTGATCTATAAAACATAAGACAGACACACACACACACAGAGAGAGAGAGAGAGAGAGAGGAGTGTACACATGAGGGAGATGGGTTAAGGCTACTGTCATGCTCACAAAAGGACTACTTTTTCTTATGGTGCTGTTTTCATGCAAATTACACACACACCAGGTAAAATATGATTAGAGTAAGCCTAGTCCAACCCCCTGCAATACATGAATCTCAGCTAACGCATCCATGACAGATGGCCATCCAATCTCTGCTTAAAAACGTGTGAGGAGAATCAGAACTTACAGGGTTAAACAGTTCTGTGTGACGTCTCACATTCTGAGGCATGGTTTGGTTCACATACAGGAATCTTTCTTTGTGTGTGAGTTTCCTTTCGTTTTTGGCTGAGAGACGAGAAGGATGCCTGCTCTCTCGCCGGGACTGATTTATGATGTTTGTCTTCTCATTAAAGGCTGTTAGAGATTAGCAAGAAGCCTGCGTTCAGTCTGATTTATTCTCCACACACAAGGCAACACTTTCTACCACTGCAGAACTCTGCTAAGAACTCTGCTAAGAGCTCAAGTTTTTTCCTATCAGCACAAGCGTTCAGATGGCGCAGGGGAAGTGTGCCGGGCGCCATCTTATCTCAGCAGGTTATGGGAGCTAGCCAAGCTTTGGAAGCTGTTGCCACGTCGTGCCTGTGTGTGTGGGAGAAGCCAGCTGGAGCCCCTGCCTAACATTTGAGGCAGTGAAGCTTGCTGGGGAGGATCTCATCTTCAGGACCGGGTTCCAAGAGAAGCTGCTGGTTACATGAGTAGGCTCAGCCCCGGGGGAGAAGATGGCAGATGGACAGGAGTCATTCTCAGTCCCCTTTGAAAAATTAAATGGGAGCAACTGGGAGGAGTGGTCAAGGAAGCTGAAGGCCTGGCTGGTAGCCAAGGGTCTGTGGGAGGCGACCCAAGGGCCCCCACAGCAAGCTGCAGCCGGAGCTGCAGCAGCGGTTGTTGCAGCTGCCCAAGCCTCACAGAGGAAAGACCAGAAAGCCCTAGGAGCTATTGTGCTCAGTTTGGAGGGCTCACAGCTACCTTTGGTGGAGGGTCTTGAGACTGCCCAGGAGGCCTACCAGGCACTAGAGAGAGTGCATCACAGGACTACAGCTGGGGCAAAGATCCACACCACCAGAAGCTTGTTTGAGCTGAAGCTGCGTCCTGGTGATAGCATCAGGCAGCATGTGACTAAGATGCTCTCTGTTTTCAACAAGCTGAGACTGTTGCAAGTCAACTTTACTGAGGAACTGAAAGTTTATATTTTGCTCAGCTCTTTGGACAAAAGTTATGACAATTTGTCTCTAACTTTGGAATCAATGAATCCAGCGGATCTTACGCTGCAGTATGTGACAAGGCAACACTTTCTACCGCTGCAGAACTCTGCTAAGAATTCTGCTAAGAGCTCAAGTTTTTTCCTATCGGCACAAGCGTCCATCGGCACAGGGGAAGTGTGCCGGGCGCCATCTTATCTCAGCATGAGACACATGAGGGAGATGGGTTAAGGCTACTGTCATGCTCACAAAAGGATTACTTTTTCTTATGGTGCTGTTTTCATGCAAATTACACACACACCAGGTAAAATATGATTAGAGTAAACCTAGTCCAACCCCCTGCAATACATGAATCTCAGCTAACACATCCATGACAGATGGCCATCCAATCTCTGCTTAAAAACGTCCAGTGAAGGAGAGTCCACAATCTCCCGAAGGAGACCATACCACTGTCGAACAGCTCTTACTGTCAGGAGAGTTTAGTAGGAATCTTGTAATCTGAAACCATTGGTTCGAGTCCTACCCTTCAGAGCAGGAGATACCAAGCCTGCTCCATCTTCCATGTGACACCCTTAAGCCAGATACTTCTTAAGACAGAAGTACGCACAGGGCAACAAAGACATTTGAAAGTCCATTCGACCTATTTGTGCAGTTATAGAGGCAACCTTTGAGTTTTCCGGTTATATATCTGGAGAATACTTTCAGTTCAGCAAACAAGTCAGCTGCATCTATGTCATGCAATCCGCCACATGTCAATGCTTTCTCTAGCTTATTGCACTGTTGATACAGGCCTTCAGATGTAGTTTCTATTTGTGTTATTTATTGCAATATTGTAGCACTCCAAATATATTGCTGTTTTCTTTGAGCTGCAAGAAGCATTCTTCTCCTCACTGGATTGTGAGAAGTCTAGAATTTGGTTAGAAAACTCAACTTTGAAATGCTGTTTGTTGTTCTGGGGTGAGATCATCTTGTGCCTCATAATCAAGCAGCCTTTTTTATATTGAAACCTCTTGGCTTGTACAGGTGGGAATCATCCTTGAGGAAGGATTTTGCTTTCTCCAGTTGTGTCATGGCTCCAGAAACAGCAAAACCAATCTCTTGGGAGTTTAAATAGTACATCATACCACAACACCAAGCCACACAGGAATTTAAATTTGTGTATTTTTGAGGTAATTCCTTCAACTTCTACCTGTCCTCTGCCTAGAGTTGCTCCTGTTGAAAGACTTGTCCTCCATAACTGCAATTGCAGCATCACCCACTTCTTCAGTCTGGTACTGGATAGCTTTTACTGCCTCCACATGTCAGGCGTGGAGTATCTTCTCTCCCCCCGGCAGCCTCAGAGGCAAAAAGAATAGTTTGTATTTTATGGCCTTTTACTCAGTTATCTGGTTGCAAGACAAAAGATCCAAGTCTCCACGTATAGGAGATGTTGGCTGCTCTGAGTCCCCCCTCTTCTGTCTCCCACAACATCCTGGAAACCTACGGAAAGTCACAGGAGTCACCGCCCTCTGTACTCTCTGTTCTTGAGTGTGGAGAGACCGGCGAGCCCTTGGACTAGGAGGGTCTCCCATACTCTCCAGGGAGGACTCTGCTGTCTGCTCTCTAACTTCCCCCTCCTCCTCACCCACTATCTTGTAATTAGGCAATTCCTCATTCAGTTGTTCATCATCCCTGTCTCCCTCTCCTGAAACTGCTGGAGACAAGGGGGGCGCGTGTGCGAAACTTCCCCCTTCTCCTCCTTTTCTGAGAGAAGCCGATCAGACCAGGGGTTCATTTCCCATTCCTCCTGTTCAGTCCAGTCCCTGACACCACATGACTTTCCCATCATGTAGCACTCAGTGGTTTCAGTATAACATGGGGTTTTCCAAGATGGTGCTTTAGAACTCACCATGGGTGTGTGGATGTGGCAAAAATGAATTCAAAAAGTTCTCTTTACAAGCAGAAGCGGCATCACACACCATGTGATTCAGTGAATGGGAGCTTCGTGGGCCAAAAAAATGCTCGGGGATTTAACTCCCATGCCCGTGTCTGTACTTCACTGTTCTTCCCTCTCATGTTGGCTCCATTTTCAAAGCCCTGGCCTCTCATGCGTGTAGCATCAATCGCCATTTCTTCAAGCTTTTGTAAAAGCACATTTGTTGTCCCTGCTGCCATGGATGCTGGGGAAAAAATGGAAGGGCACACCATGGAAGATTCCAAGGACTAGAGAATGAAACAGTTGCTAGAAAAACACACTAATGGAGAAGGAGAAACAGCACTTCTTTATAAGACTCCAGGAATTCCTATCACTTGGAGTTAAAACAGCTCACTTGTCAATCATTCTGACTTCACTCATTGGCTAAAAACACTGAAAGGCAAAAGCGGCCAGGCTGGCTCATCTCAAAGAAATCACATAGAAAGGTATTTGCACATTAGGAGGACTAGATACTTATTTTTATTTTTATTGTAATGAAACCTCAGACCTGGGCTCCTGTTGGCCTGGGACATCCCTACCTGCTGTACCTGCTCCTCAACATTCCTGCCCCAGTCACTTTCTTTTAACCACATGCCAATAAATTCACCTTTGCAGCTCATTCCCACCTTGTGAAGGTAACTTCACAAGCCCCAGACCATGTGGGAGGAGCTAGTCCTACACCAGGTAGTGGATATGTGAATGTGACAGCCATGTGGTGTATATAGCACAGCAGGCCTGTGTTCATAACTGAAATCTAGCTTAGGTGTTCAGGAGTCTGAAACACTCTTGTGTGTCTTTTTGCTTTTTGAGTATGCACAGTCAGCTGCCAGATCCTGACCTTGGTGGATGCAAGGCATGGAAAATAAGGCTTAGCTGGTCTTCTGTGGGACTTTGAAGAAAACATTCCCTGTTGTGATGAGACGAGCTTGTTTTTTCTGCATTAGGAAATGCTGTATTAGGATTTATTTTTTATTTTCCTGTCCCTGGGGGAAGTGCAAGGTTGACTCACAGTGCTGTTTTCGTTGCAACCTCTCTGGTGAGTTTAAGTGGTGTGCTTTTCTGAGTAGAAAATCTTCAATGCCTGAGTTTTATTCTTTTTTATGATTTCCCACCTGCCATGTGGAGTGTAAAAAACTACAGAATTCACTTGGTGAATCCCGCAGTGTTTATAGATACTCTAGACAGAGAAGCAAGTAACTGTGTTGTCAAGAATAATTCCTCTTGTACTGGAACACTGCTAAACAGAAATGCCAATCTGTTCACCTACAAGATAATGGCGAAGAAGAGAGAGAGAGAGAGATTCATAACAGTACAAAAAAAAAGTATTTCTAACAAGGTCTTTCAAAACCACCACCTGCCTTTTATTCATAGAAAAAGCTTTCTATGATTTATCAGCTCAGCCTTCGGTAGGATTTGCAACTTACTCCCCGATGCCAAGCCTGCCATGCCATGTCTATTATCTAATGTGCACCGTTAAGTTCAAGTAGACCCAGAAATAGAGGAATGCCATTTTGTAAAGTTGTTATTTGATTTATATCCCGCCCTTTCTCCCGAAGGAACCCAACTGAAGTTCTTCTATTGCTGCATGTTTTCGTTTGTTACTCCATTGTTTCTGAATGACAGAGCATAGCCCATTGGTTTTAGCAAGTGGAAATACCTTGTGGTGAAGCCTACCGTCCATCTTCATTAACTAATCTATATGTGTGTCAAAAATCTGTTTGGGTTTGTTTGCTTTTGCTTTTGCAGATGTCTGTATCTGAAGAAGCACCTGCAAGAATCAAAGCCTTCAAGTCTAAACAACATGCTGCTTCAGTAAAATATATGTGGGTCTCATTCTCTCTGTAGGACTGAGTTATGATACTATACAGCATATAAAATCTGACCAATAGCCTTGTTAGGTATCCTTCCTGGTTTGAAATACCATTACAGTGGTACCTCTGGTTACGAACCTGATTTGTTCCGGAGGCCCGTTCTTAACCTGAAACCATTCTTAACCTGAGGTACCACTTTAGCTAATGGGGCCTCCCGCTGCCGCTGCACCACCAGCGCGTGATTTCTGTTTTCATCCTGAGGTAAAGTTCTTAACCCGAGGTACTACTTCTGGGTTAATGGAGTCTGTAACCCAAAGTGTTTGTAACCCGAGGTGTTTGTAACCCGAGGTATCACTGTATAGTTCTTGTTTTTTACCCTCTGACAAAAGGGTAAAAAGCATAGGTGTCTCCACCCATAAAATTAATTTGTGCCACAGTTATCATGTTAAGGCCAGAGGCCTTATTAGTCTCATTGGGATCATGGATACTATCATGGCACCCCCAGGCACATTCCGCATAATATTAAAATTTTCAGAGACAGGAAGTAGACCAGCTTAGTATATATAAAAAAGGCTGATACAGCAACAGTTGCTCTTACATGACATGACAGCAGCTCCTTTAATTTACAGTAGTGAATTAGAAGGTGAAGGAACTAGCAAGAGGGCCAATCTTAGCACCTGAGAATATAAGAGCAGAAAAGGTGCCGTGCTGCAGACATTTAGCCCTCAACACACCAAGGGTTATAGGAGCAACAACAGTGATATGTAGGGCCAGGGACTGTGCTTTCATTCTGTCCCCTCACAAGATAGCAACCACAGTGGGGAGGACAAGATAAGGAGGGCTAGAGAACTTGGCTATGGGTCAAGGCACACCTTATTTTCCTCTCTCAATCACCCTGCGGCAGTATGAGATGATGAGTGTCAGAGTTCCACTTCACTGGCTATAAGAAAGTTGGTGGGATCAGTTTTCAGTGAAGGAATATTTTGGGTAGGAAATTATGGGTACAATCAGTAAAGTGGCAGCAGCTTTTCAGGTTTTCTGGTTGGCTCCTGGTTTAGTCATTGTCTGGTTACCAAACATAGAGAGCAAGCCTTTATTGCTACAAATACATATTTAAACATACATTCAGACCAATCTAATTTTGTTTCCCAAATTCCAATGTAAATTGTGGCTGCTTTCCAACCATATACAATTGATCCAACTTTACAACAGATCTATAAAAATGTAATCATAAAGATGATTTATAGTACTGCTTTCTTCTCTGCACAAGGAAAGAAGCAGGTTTACTTATTATTTATTGAAGTGACGAGAATTAGCCTAGACAACAGTCTATTAACTGCAAGGCAGAGGTTTGCTTCCCCCCCTTAAACTACATTATTGTAACATGAATTTGGCTCTTGTCATCGGTTCTGTATTAAAAATGGGCACCCTTGGAAATGAAATGCATTTTCATTTTAAGTGGGATA